ATAGCGGCTTGAGTCTCAGGACTGGCAGGAATAGCGATAAAATTTATTTCTCATAAGTTGCAAAAGAAAGCATTAAAACATGATAATATTCGGATACTCGCCGAAACAAAGTTGAACAGCATTGAGGATCATATTTCAACAGCACTGGCTGATTGTAAGATATCCGAGGAGGAGTTTCGTTTAGTGCTGTCAGAACTCACCAAATACAACATAATGAAGCAGGAGATTCGATCAAATTCTCGTAAGACCAGTGGTATTAGCGAAGACGAGAAAAAAAAGTTCATAGAACAGGGGGGAAACAACAAGCGCGTCAATTTTTCCTTGCCAAAACCAAAGAACTGGTTGGAGATTAAAAATAGATTGCTTACTATCATTAGATCACATTTAAACAAATGCTTACATAAGTACCGTATTCGACCCATTTAGCGCCCCTCCCCCAATAAGTTTAAATTGTATTTTTTGTTCAGCTAGGCATTGTTTTAAGATTACCTTGTGCATTTTCTCGTAAACTAAGCCGGACACAGCAATCAGCTGTACACACGTTTTCTTGGAATCTACCGGTGATTCGGTCAAGACACACCCAATGATATAACTTTACAGGATTTTAAATGCAAGGATCGGCAACAGTTGTATCTGAAACTATTTTTTTATCAGGAATAATATATTCCAATATCTTGTTAATTTAGATGCAGCTTTTACTAAACATATTTAAAATAATAATAACCCTAATTATTTTTTACATGGAACCAGTCTGACCAGTCACTGTCAAGGCTCCCGTGCACGTGATCGCGAGAATTACGTGTTGACATAGAATTGTCCAACAAAAACACTTTTAACAAATCAAAGTATGGCATTTATGATATATGTATCCATTCTCTGTCAACTAAAGTTTGTTTCAAGGCGTCAATAGCGGTAATCTGACCGTGGTTGCTATTAATAACGGTGAGTTGTGCGATCTTCCGATCAGATCACTTCACACACGATTTCGCCGAAATTAATTAAAACAATATTAAAAGGAATTTTGAATAAAATTAATGAAATAAGTTACAAACAAAAGTCCAGATATACAAAGAACACTTTTTATAGCCAGACAGTGTAATTACATGAATAATTTGCGAACTTCAGTATGGATTTGTTGACATGGTATTTCCGGTGTTCCGTGCTCACAGTAATGGCTTTCCATGGGGGAAAAAACATCAAAACTCATTAATTCGTGTATAATGCGCACCACCTTCTACACAGCTGTGTTTTTTGGAAAAAAAGTGCGCACTATTCTCAAGAAAATACGGTAAGGCTTACTGATGAATTTACGCCAATTTTACTCTGAATTGGTCCCAATAAGCGCCCGACCCTTCTCTCTTTTTTTAAGCGCCCTGGGAGCTTAATGGGTCGAATACGGTATATAATACTGGAGAATTACAAACCAACAAAGGAAGAACTCGAAAAAGCTATCGAAGCATTTATGCTCAGGGACAAAATTATCAAATGGAGAGAATTACCACAACTCAAGGTATACATTATATCAGTGATGTCAAACCAACCAAATACGGTCATCAATTGTTTCTTTCCAATTACCAAGAAGAGTTTATAGTCTGGTCTCCTAGTAAAATGAACGAAGAACTTGGTTAAAAATAATGGTATACGTATGCATAAAAATAATAGAGAATATTTTCATTACAATTTAGTTTAATGTTATGACGATCGTTAAATTGCATCAGCGTTCACACATAAAAATTTCCCCCTGTAGTGGTGGTATAGGTATATAAATCTGGCTCCAGTGGAAAGGGTCCAGAACCCTCATCATCTATACTACTAAAATAATATAGATCTTTCATTGATCATACATGTATTGAAATATAATCATGGTAGTATTTGGCAACAAACAACTACCATTCATATACATAAAATCCTTTTATACAACATGCACCAATTAACCCTTAAATATCAAAACAGATTTCAGTGATTTCCATTTCTTTTATTTTGAACATTGTATCATGATATCTAGTTGATGACGTTATTTTACAGTGCCTGTTACTCTTACAATTTCTTGAGAACATTTCTCATTGCTCTCTGTTATATATCTGACAAATACTTACATGTGTTGCTGTCAATATTCACAACATTGAGGCTACGGGCAACGTTGCATGAGACCTTCACATTTTGCGTACCGTATCGCCTCACCGCTGTACACACTGAAATGCATGCATATGATGCTCGGCGATGCTACAACATAGATATAGGAACGTATACAAAATCTTATTAATTTTTAAAAGTGTGATATTCATACATCAAGGGGAACACTTTCAGTACCGATTGCAAAACGTCAACAAAGCGACCTGGGATGAACGATCAGCTGATCTCACCGCATCGCTTCGAACGCCTATCTAGTGGTTAACTATACAATATAATCAGTCGTGGTCATCCCTGATGTATCATTAAATCAAGGAACATTTATTTCTGGACATGGCAATAGATAAATCATTGTTTAGGCGAAAAGATATACTGTCCACACACAAGCGAGACCGTTGCCGACAGAGGTGAAGGTTATACTAGTTAGCTATCTCTAGGCGTCATAGTAACATGTAGTGCTCGTATCGCGCATACCACATGCGCCGTCAGTTTAAGGTTGGACCGTCCGGGTCCGCGCACCTAGCGGGTTAGTGAAGGGAAGATAAATTGAAAAAGATCGTCCATTGGCCCTTGTTTAATGAAGCACCTACTGTTTGAAATCTTCTACCCTCTCTATGGCGCCTTATGCTAAAACAATTCAGCAGACTAAAGGTTAACTGAACCTTACGAGCCCATGGCTGAAGCTACCCTACTTCAAAAAGCCAGGAAAACATCGTTTCTGCTAGTCATGGCAACAGCAGCAAGAGTTTCAGAACTACATGCTTTAGACTATTCTTGTCTTACCCATGATCAACATTGGACCTCAATAACTCTAAGTTCGCTCCCAGACTTCGTGGCCAAGAATCAATCTACCACAATGGGACCATTGGGTCATAGACACTATACAATTCCTGCATTAGGACCAACAGTCGATCACCCAGACAGACTCTTATGTCCAAACAGAGCTCTCAAGTTCTATCTCTCGGCTACAGACCCACAAAGATGCCATCGAAGGAGACTCTTCCTATCCTGTAAGACCAACTCAAACAAGGATATCACCAAGGCTACTTTAGCAGGTTGGCTAAAAGCTACAGTTATATCAAGTTATGCACAGGCTCCGAATTCTACACCACGTCTCTGTTCCTGCTCAGCTCATGAAATCAGAGCCCTAGCCCTAGCCATAGTCTCAGTAGAACAAGTAGCTGTCAATGGGCCTCACAAAACATCTTCACTAGTTTTTACTTGACCAGACTTAGAGGGCATATATTCCCTAGATCCGGTTGTCGCGGCACAAACTATCGTCCACCAATAGTTTCACCCCTTCTATCAAAAAAAGGTGGGGACGAGGATCTGACACCAGCAGCATCAGAGGGTGAGTACACCCTTGATTATTCTGCCTATTAGGTGTAGGATGGATAAGAAGCACCTTAAATATCAACTATCACCTTTAGACCGGAGGTAAAGTCATTACCGGAAGAGAGGGAATAACTGGAAGTGACATCATCACCGGAAATAGCAGAACAGAGTCCTTCTCACCAGGAAATGACGTCTTTGGGGTAGAAATAGACCCAGAGAGAGGTCATTACCAAAAAGGGGAAGTGACATACCGGAAGTGACGTCATGACCGGAAGTGTCGTCAAAACCCGGAAGTGACGTAATCGTGGGTATTAGAAATCACAAATCCATGTTTATTACGATCAAGATCAGCAAATATAACGTTAAGCTAGTAAAAAATATGACATATTTGACTGATTTTTGCCAGTTTCTGATTTTCAAGTCTTCAAGGGATATTTCAGAGGAAATTATCTCGAGTAGGATTAGAATCATTACATAATGGTTTCCAGAAAAGGTTTGCTGTCAATTACACGGGGAGTTACTGGAGGCAGATCCCACCGTGGTCCCTCTGGTATATTCTTACAGATATGTTATAGATGTAGAAGTTTCGTAAGAATTATCGAACAATAGTTATCATTGTTAATCATTCTAAGAATACTACCTCTATTACAAATTACTCCCTCCCACCTCCCCAATTCATCTACCTCTAGTTGTTGATGAGGAAAAAAAGTGATGTTGTCGCCATTATGACGTCATGGGTGGTTAAGAGACTACTAACAGTGAAGAGGACGTCTGTTGATCATCTGAAAATTTTAGTAAGTGTGATTGAAGCCAAAATTCAGGATTTATGGCAGATATGTAATAGAGGTAGTGTTCTTAGAATTATTAACAATGATAAACTATTATTCGATATTTCTCTGTTTATTAAAATGTCTGTTGAGTTTCTGAGGTAATTTTTGTTATCTACCACATGTATATGAGGCATTATGGTACTCTGATATGCCTCTTTAACTATCGAGTCCTTCGGTTTTCAGTCCAAATCCCTGAATTGTATCAAATTTATATAACTGTTTCTGACTGTGGCTGTCAAAAGAAACTGTTGCTTGACTGTTTCTCATGAGAAGTTAGTGACAGTATTTCCCATGACACGAGTGAATTTAATCATTTCTGTTTTACTGTTTTAAGAGTGAAGTTTGTTGTCCTTGGTAATAAAAATAATATATTTCCTCCCTTGTCACTTTTTCTAAAAAAAACATGGATGAGAATCTAATTATTAATTTGTTGTGGCCTTGTGTGGCTGCTTTTGGTTGCTCTGTTAAAACTTCAAGCTTGAGCAAGTGTTGACTTCATCATATCTATATTACTGTTATTCTTGTGCAGATAGGTTGGTATGACTTGACTGATTGTGTGTCACTATATACTCATGCTGTCAATTATTTGATTTTTTACATGCTGATGTGATAAAGCTGGAATATTGTCGACTTGAATCTGAAGACAGCATTCACTCACACCCCATTGTGTGTATACTTTCTCATACTATACCATCTTTGTTTCAGATAGAACAGACAAAATACCTATGAATTCCATCAAAACTATAGTTAGTGAAGCTTTAGATGGTCATGAAGAATATCACATGATGGTATGTATTACTCAAAATGACAATATGTTCTATACATGGAGATCTCTGTTCTATGATTTGTCCTAGCTTCCATTATTGTGGTTACTCATCCTTAAACATCCATTGAATCCATTAGCCCGAGGAAACTAAAACTTGTTCACTCTTTCAAATCTTAAAGACAACACAACCAAGAAAGCTCATATATTGGTAGGATATTGTATACTTTGGGATTCAGATTTAGTAATGGCATTTAGATAAAGAATTTGTCCATGTTGAACCTTTTTAGGTTATCTTCTCTTCTGAAAACATCGCATATACTATTTTGCAGTTTTTAGAGGTTGTGTATGAGATCCTTCACATCTGTGTAGAAATATTTTCTCGTTGCAAAATTCAAATGACTGCAGTGCCAAAAAAGGAGGAATGAATATCTCTCTATGTAATTTCTGTGTCAGTGACTGCTGTACAGCCCATATATGTTTCAAAGGAATATTTCTGACATGGTTGGCTCACATGAAAGTAAAGTTCAACAAATGACTTCTGAACACAATAGAATGAGAATGTGTGATAAAATACTAAAATAATTTGTGATTGGATACTCAAATACCTTGTCATGATCTCTCAGACAGGGTTCCAATTGTTTTTCACTTTTGATGATGTCTTTTAAGGGACGGGCAGCAGGGAAGCCTAGTGGTTTAAGCGCTGCTCGTCACGCCTATGAGCTGGGTTCGATTCCCCACATGGGTACAAGGTGTGAAGCCCATTTCTGGTGTTCCTCACCGTAATATTGCTGGAATATTGTCAAAAGCGGCGTAGAACCATACTCACTGACTCACTTTTAAAGGAACAGGTCACCTGAATTTTGGATTGCAGTTCTCATAGATAGCCTTACCAAATGAGCAAGGTTTGATATGATTCAATGATAAGATATAAGATCATGTATGTGTATTAAGTCATTGAATTCTATTGAGAGATACTAATTCAAAGTGGTCCCTATTAGGAATGTAACTGATACTGAAGGTAAAATGTCCTGGTTGAAGAGTTACTACTGCAGGCATGTGTTTTCCCAAAATGCATTTGGCAGGGTTCGAAATTAACCCGAGGCTACTAGTCCCAGACAAGTAAAGTTAAAAAAGCACAATTGACATTTTCTTGAGGTCTACCACTGATACAATTAGGGCTTATGGCAACTTTGTAGCAGCTAATTTTTGTTGACTAGTGAAATAAAGATTAATTTATTACCTTGTTTAGGCTAGCTAAATTAATGGTATTTACTGTTTTGAAGTTGTGCTGATGTAGGCCTGTTTTCCTTTTAAAACAAGAACTCAGATTGGAAGTGCATGGTGGCACAACAAGCTTTTCACAAGGACTGAAGTATCTGCTTGCAATACATATTGATGCTCACAGCCATAATCTTGCCTATGTCCTCATTTTGTCTTTGTTTATGCTACATACACATGGCACTGTGTTTTGCACACTGAGTTCTTTCATTTGCAAGTTCTTCATACTTAGAATGTGTCTAGCGACCTGAAAAACATAAGACATGTATTTGTCCTATTCCTGCGTATAGCATATTCTAACTGTTGTAATATGACTATGTTTGCAGGGAATCCAGTTAGGACCTACAGAAGCATCCCGGTATTGGGTGTATTGGGTTCCAGCACAGTTTGTGGAAGCCATCAAAGATGCAGTGCTAGGGAAGTGGCAGTACTTCTAGCATAGAGGATAAGGTCTCACCACAAACTTGCACCAGATGTGCTTGCTCACCATGCATAGCATGGTCTGTGTTACAGTATCACTATTCACTATTTCTGGCAGTCCAAGTTATGTTTGAATTTCTGATGAAAGATATGTTGCTGCTAATAAAAGCCTATGTATATAAGTTTCTTAATCTTTTAATAGATCTCTTAAAACTCTCGATGCTAAAGTCAACTGTTAACCAATCATATAAATTGTGCATGATATACATAAATATTGGTTATCTTGCTAAATATCAAAACTTTAAGCATGTAAATCCTGCAAGTTATTAGACAAATTTATTGGCACACAGCTGCCAGTAACAGCCATTGTTAATTCAATACACTTCACACTGGCATGTGGTCCGATATTTTCTTTTTAATATTATCATTTTTTTCATTTGATCATAACCTTTTGTTCATTTTTGTTTAAAAAACCCCACAGAAGTACCTTCATTCCCAAAAATTAGCAACTTTCCATTTAATTGATTATACATGTGTGGAGACAAAAACAATCTTAATCATCTCCTGGTACATCATCGACTAAGAATGGCATTGGGGGTAAACAAACAATTCTACAGTTCACGATTCTGTTATTCCATTAGATACAGGTGTGTAAAACGTCACTCAAATGTATGATAAACACAACGCATGCATATGTCACACATCGATGTGAAGCTGGGTCTACGTGACCCAGAGTTTTTATCAGAATTGACCTGGCTGTCACAGGGTCAACAACGTGGCACACAGAATTGTCGATGACCAAATTCACTGACAACAGAATATAGTGGTCGCTGTTTCCTGTGGATGTTCACCCTGGCACATGTCTCATTACAATTCGTCTTAACCACCTATGTTATCGGCATGTGTGTGTGACATGCCACTGTAATAGATTGGGCTTAGGATTAGGATATACAGATAAACATATATTGCACAGAGACTAGCAACGAACACATGTCTTTAATGTGCCACTCAAAAGTAATGAGTATATATACTCACACGCAAAAGGAGTGCAAGTCGAGTATGCAGTATTAATGTTATTTATTTTCAACAGTAAAGACAAGAAATATCAATAGGGCATGATTGACAAAAATTTGACTGAAGACAGTTTAATGGATTAAAAGGCAGATGACATAATTGTTTTTTTTCAAATGGTAAGGGCTTACACAGTTTCGGGGCAATACCCAAAATGTCAGTCAATACCTGGTGTGACCACCATTAGCATTGATCACTGCCACATATCTCCTGTACATTGAGTGGATCAGACGATTTGTGAAGGCCCTAGGGATCCTCCTGCACACATCCAGAGCAGCTGTGTGTAGTTCATCGGCAGTTGTAGGGACTGGGCGCACATTGTGCAGACGCCTTTGAACCTCATCCCACAAGTGTTCGATGGGGTTCAGATCAGGGCTGAGGGCTGGCCACCGTAGAACACGGATGTTGTGTTGTTAGCTCTGGCAACATGGGGACGAGCGTTGTCCTGCTGGAAAATGTGTTGATGTTGTGCAAAAAATGGAACAACTTAGGGTCTGATCACTTGGTCGATATACCGCTGAGCAGTGACGCCGTGTCCCCGACCTTGACCAACATTCAGAAAGCACATGGGTCCAAGTCTCGCATTAAGTCCAATCCCTGCCCATATCATGACGCTAGGTCCACCCCATGGATCCCTTTCCACAACGTTTCTGTCAGCGAAACGATCACCTCGACACTGCCAAATTTTGACTCTTCTGCTTGGGAGACACAAAAGCGACTTGCATCAGAGAAGATAACACGCCTCCACTCACGATGACGCCAATTGCGATCACCCTGTGCCCACTGAAGTTGTGCTTGTCAATGCCGTGATTGGAGAACAGGACGACATGCTAGTCGGCGACATCTAAGGTTGTTGGAACGGAGACGTCAGATCACAGTGTCCCGGCTAATGTGTCGATTATGTGTTCCTATGGTCTGTCGAGCACTTTCACTTGCAGTGAGGAACGGATGTCGCTGGTGTTGGGTAATTTGTCCGATCTTGTGGAGGTGTGGTGACCCTAGGACGACCGCTCCGAGGAAGGTCATCTGTGGTCTGTGTAGCATTGTATCGATGCAGGAGACGGTAAATTGTGTTTATGATAATGTTGGAATGGCGGGTAACATCTTGGACAGACTCTCCAGCTTCCAAATGTCAGATAGCCTGGTTTCTCTGAATTTGAGTTAGGCGTGGCATTGTTGACCAAGGAGTGGTAGGTCCAAGAATCAGCCACAGTTCGTGACAGTTTGTGCATTTTCGATTTCGCGAGAAATTGGTGCATGATACCCACATATTCATTGAAATGGTGCGTTTTGGCGACTCGTTTTTTTAGGTTGCGGTTTTACTCGGGGCTTCCAAAATGCAACCAAAAATATTGATAACACCATAAGGCTTCACAACATGCTAAAACTCGTATCAATTTATGGTTCCTTGTTTGTTACCTATATGCTTAAAACCACTTGCGTTTCTTTTGCGTGTGAGTATATATATAAACTAAACAGCAAAAGAAACGTCCCCATGGATAGATATATGAGAAACCTTAATTTTTAAACTAATCCTATCTCACACTATAAAATTCTTCTTATTCTTCGATTTTGGTGTGGAAACGTCCTAGAATAGAGTTTCCAGCTTCAAAAACACAACTCACCCAAATACATCCCATACCTCACCAAATCACCACTGTCATCATGGTTCACGCACCACTAAAATCCCGTGCGACACGACCCCAGCAACCTGATCACCTGACATATCCAGCACCCTCATTCTCAATTCTATCGCTAATGGTTTTCGTACGTTATACTTGTACAGAGAATTTTTTTTTTTTAATTTTTTTTTTTTAATAAAATTCAAATACACGACCTCTACTAAAGTTTACCAATACCATGAAGAGTGTGTGGTATTAATAACAATGTCTTCTGTGTACCACCTTGTCAGAAATTTGATCTCAACTTACTCAGCTAAGTGTTCGATAAAGGTGACTGTTTGTCGGTTCAAGGCGTTGTTTACGGTTTTCGTGCATGTTGTTTTTTCCTCCGCTTTGAAACCCAAACGATTGTGTTATCCCCTGTGGCTGTACCTTCGTTTTCTTGCTTAACAAGATATTAGTCAATTTGGCGATGGTTACATCGCTCTCCGTTGAGGAGGACTGCTTTCTGTCGCGTTTGACTGCTGCGATTCCCGCCTCTGTGTGGACCACGCCCCTGTACACGTGCCCGCTGCCTGGCTTCTACAGTCGTCTCACCTTTTAATGGCCAGTGTACATGTATGGTTCTGTCATCTGTATCCCTTCACCTAGACTAACTTTTAGTTTATGAAATCTTATTAAACAAATAATTTCCCGATGCCAATATATATGTGAAATAAAGCTAGCTAGAACTGGCTAAATACGCCTTTGTATTCATATCTAGTTTGTTAATTTGTTTGTTATTGTTGTTTTTTCTCACATAAAATAACAATATTCCACAGTCATCGACATAAATCGATACATCAACACATCGTCTGATCAAGAACTCGTCGGCTAGTACGACTTTACCTGCAGGAAGCCTCGGTGGGTTAGATCGCTGACTCTGTGTGTCCCAGAGGGGACTCAACCCCATAAAGTAGGAGCATGTACTTTACTGAGAAGATGTTATCCCAGATTACTTTAGTTATATAAAACAGACGAACGACGGATCGTCCTCAGTCATAAGATCGTCATTCTTCCATGGTATCAATAGACCTCTCCATCATCGTGCATCGGGCTTCTGTACGCGAACTTGGACAAGGCTTTCCTTGCATTCCGTTGTCTAGATCAGACAATCCAGTGATTGTCATCATGAGGATCCTTCTGCCTCTTGCAATATGATGACCTGCACCAACCATATCAGTGAACTTGACCAACCGGTCTCATTGATCTCTTACAGGCATAGTCATCTCGTATGGTGAGCTTGAGATACTGAGTCTCTTCTCTACCAGGATCTTCATGGATCCAGTCCACGTGCCTGCCAGCCATGAATCGTCTTACGATACTCTCCTATGAGAAATCACCATTACAAGGTTATGACGCTTGAGACAATGCGCTCCCCCTATTCAGATTTGAATCGTCATACAGACGACATCATCCTGAGGCTCGATATCATCGCAGCCGATCTTTATCATCGTTGCCGTTGATTTGAGCCTGATATTCCATTACAGGTTATGACGCTTGAGACAACGCATTCCCCCTATTCAGATTTGAATCGTCAAACAGAGGCCATCATCCTGAGGCTCGATATCATTGCAGCCGACCTTTATCATCGACGCCCTCGAATTCAGCCTGATATTCCATATTAGTTGGTACGTCTTATCCACCCTCATCGTGGTCAACCTAAACCATTCTAACAGACGAATCGACAGGGGAGTTCGTTGGACTTTCATGGATACAAACGGCAGATGTTCGATGTCTGAAGATGGTTTCTAGCGTCATACGGGACTCGCCTTGGTACTACACCTGTTTCGTCCTATATTCTACAAGAAACTGACTGCCTATTGACTGGTGTTTTTCATTACTCGGGACACCGCTCGTGTGTTGGGAGCTTTTGACCACGTGATCGGAAAGACTGCTGTATTTCCAACCTGCGCAAGGGTGAATTACACATCACGCCAAGATTGCTGTTTGTAAACAAGACTACCATGCTGACTTTGGTACAGGCTGATCGCATGCGAGCCGTACGAAACATTTACAGTAGTAGTCAATTACTTCCTTTTTTGTCGCATCGATAACCGGAATGCACAGCGCTTTTTCCGGTGGCTAGGCAATGGAATCCATCGTCTCTTCACCAGTTCAATGCATCGCCGATCAACCTTGCAGGACAAGTCATCCCTCACTTATTCAAGACGAGAGTTGGTGAATATTGACAGTTTTGTTCGGTATATGATCCTAATGTTCTCCACGTCCATTCAAGGCACGATTTCTGCTACTTCCCCTTTTTCACCTGGTCCCGATTAACCCGCTTCGTACGATCAGCCAACCACTAAACTACATCTCAGCCTCGTTTTTTCTACTAGATACTAGATCACACGCACGACCATCAAGATTTTACCATCGCTTTAGAACACAAATTTTGTGTTATGTGTGCCTGAATGTCGATCTGCAGGCGAAGTCATCTCCACATC